GCCAAGGAGTGTCAATCAGCACCAGCCAAACCTCTCTGCACATCTCAGCCCCGGCAGCACCCACGGAGCAGCATCTTCCCTTGTTCTGGGCACTCACAGACATCACTCTGCCCTTCAACTCCACTGCCTCCCTCTCCTCACCCAGGGCTGGGGCACACAGAGCCCAGCTTGCTGTCACAGAGGGACTGGCCACTGCCAGAGGGGAATTTAAGTCCTGACAAGGAGTTTTGTAGCTGACTGAGCCCAGGCCAGGAGAGCTCTTTTAGAGTGCTCATCACAGAGCACACACAGACACACTCTCTTCTTACCTTAAACCTGTATCACAAAGCCCCTGATGGGGCTCATTTTCTTGTGAGTGAAACAAATTTAACCACCTGGTTTCCCACTGCATACCCTGTAGCTGGATAAGAACACTTCCCTGAGCCATGACTGGGATCCTGCCCACTGGCAGTGCCCCCCCAGTACCTGGCTCCTCATCCTGCAGCTCGGAGCCATGGCCCTCCATGCTGGAAGGGAAAGCATTACTCTACTGCTTGTTTTTGCATTCTAAAAAAAACCAACTCATAACACCAGGATAAAGGCCAGCCAAAGGCAGGCTGGGACCCCCATTGTAACCAGCAGCACAACAAGTAGTTAACTGATTATCTCAGCTACCCTGTTGGTTATGTCATATGTGATAAATCAAGACAAGACTTGCTCGATAAGGAAAAGTAAGTGAGGCTATTTTAAAATGAAAATCCAATGGAATTTAGAGTGCTGGTGTGAGAGAGAAGAGCTGAGATTAGGAGGCGACATAAACACAAGCTGAAAGGGGCCACTCCAGAACTGTCCTCCCGCACCTTCAGCAGAGGAGGAACAACATCCCATGAGTTACCCAAAGCTGGTTTTTCTTGGAGCAGCCTTGGCACCATCCAGGGCAGCACTGCAAAGTGCCTGGTTCAGCTGGGGCAGGTGAGACTCCACTGCCAGAGACCCCCCAGCCCTGCTCAGCCTCAGCTCCATCAGCCAGAAGGGCGGCTGCTCCTCCGGCCCCCAGCACAGATCTATCCCCCCTTATCCGATACAGGACAGCCATTTGTTCAACATTTTAAACCCAGCTTTGCCCACAGCCATAAGAACATGCTTGAGAGGGAATTAGCAGCAGCCACTCACGGTCTCAATTAGTGCCTGCTGAGCTGTGTAACAGAAGAGGCAGTTGTAGATGGTTCTTGTGATACTCAGAGCACTGGCACCATTAAAAACACAGCATTGAAAGCAGAAACTCCTCAGTACCTGTGTCTTAATGGGTTCCATCTCTTCTCCACCCACCTGCTGTGTCCCTGCTGGAGGGCAACCCTGTCCTCAGGGGCCAACACCCCAGACCCAGGGGCCTAGTGGGAGCTGGTGCCCGCCCAGCATCCCTGTGACTCAGGAGACAGGTGTCCAGAGCAAAAAGCAGCTCACAACTCACACTTAAGACAAAAAGAACTGTTGATTTTAGACCATGGGATGAAAGGGAGCCTCACACATCTGGTGTCACAGCTGAGCTCTGACACCCTGCAGGGATTCCCAAAGAACGGGATTTCCACCAGGACAGCCCAGGCTCTGCTCTGTGACCCCACACTTGCCCCCTTCAGCTCATGGCTGCAGAGGTGGCAGCACCCACCTACCCCCAGCCCAGCAGAGCAGAGCACCCACAGCATCCCACCAGGAGAAGGTCTCCAGCTCCTCTCCCAGCACTTACAACAGAGACCAGGATGCAGAGAGGTTGGGTGGTTGTGTATCACAGGGGCATGAATCTGATATTCATAGACTTTTTCTGTCTTTTAAAGGGCAAGACTCTTTGAATAGAAACAATTTAAGACAACATCTTGAAAGATAAATGAATGTTCTTCTGTACTTCCTCACTGAAATTTAATTTTAATTGATATTAAACATGACAGAGCTTCTACTCAAACTTGTATTTGCCAGCCATGACTTCCACTGCCACCACATCCCTGCCCTCAGCATCCTCTGTGCTCCTTAGTCCTTCAGGGCTGAAGGACCAGCCTAAACCCAAGAGCCCCCTTGACCCTTGCAGGAGGCAGGACACCAGCCTCAGACCCGAGGCAACGGTGGGGGGAGCAATGGTAACTACAGGGGAAAAATCATCACCAGGTCTCCTACAAATGTTCTCAAAATGAAAGATTTGGATCCCAGTGCAGCTGGGCACAAATTCCAGCAGGTGTCCATGGATGCCAGCTCACACCTGGATGTGTGGAGGAGCACTGAAGGGAGCAGCACCCGCAAGCATTTCATGGAATGTTTGGGTTGGAAGGGACCTTAAAGCTCATCTCATCCCACCCCCTGCCATGGGCAGGTACACCTTCCACTATCCCACATCGCTCCAAGCCCTGTCCAACCTGGCCTTGGACACTTCCAGGGATGGGACAGCCACAGCTTCTTTGGGCAACCTGTGCCAGTGTTTTACCACTTGCAGTAAAAAAACTTCCATAGCATCTGTCTTGGGAAAGTTCTGTCCTGCAGAGCACATGGAGGGACCGGAGCAGCCCTGAGCAGGCATCTCCTGCTCTCCCTCTGCCGTGTATGTGACTCTCCACTTTTACACAGTGTCCCATTCACAGCCTTAACATGCTCGGAAATACATTTATTTATAGCATCTACAGTGCAACAGAATATTCTCCTCTCTCTTCTTGCTACTCGAGACATTTACTACCTGCACGTTGCCCACTGCGTGGGTGCACATTCTCCTCCTCCTACGCCTGGGACACCAGAGCCCTGTGCCCAGGGGCACAGCACAGCCCAGCCTAAAGACAGCCAGTGACTCATGCCATCAGAAATCCCACCCGGAGCCAGGGGCAGGGGGAGCCCCCACTGCCCCCCAGCACTGCACTGCTGTTCCCTGCACACCCCAGGGAGGAGCCCCCGACCACGGGCAGGGCAGGCACCCAACCCCTCCTTCCTGGGCAAAGCCTTCCAGGTGGGACAGGCCAGGAAAATCAGCGGAGCCTCCTGTCCCACTTCCCCTGTCCAGGCCAACCCTGCAGAGCAGCTGTGCCTCCTAAATTCGGCGCTGGCTCCTGGCCAAGGCCTTGCCCTGCCCACAGATCCGCACGCACTCAGCTCTGCTCGCTCCAGAGCACATTCCTGGGCTCCCAGACTGCGGAAAACAGCTGATTTTGCAAAAACATCCTTCACAATCTGTCCTGAAGTGCTGAGCCATCGAGCAGTTGGGGCCACAGAGCTCTGACAGAGGACGCAGCCAGGAGGGAACGGGTCTGGCCTTGGAGCTGCTGCCCAAAGCTTTGGAGCGTGGAGAGGTTTTATCTCCACCACCAGCCCACCCTGGGTTTGGGCTCTTCCAGCTGCCGTGTAGAAGCAGAGGGAGATGCAGGGATATGGAACCAGTGCTGCCAAAGGGTTTTCTAGTATCTTTTTGCCCAGGACAGGGGCATTTCTCTCCAGAAACAACCTGCCCAGATCTACACCCACAGCCCCACGGTCATATCCCTTTCCAGAGTTTGTCCCCTCTCCATAGGTGCCCCCTGTGCCTTTGCAGGATCCCGTGAGTTCACATTGTTACTTGCCCACCACAGTTCTGCCCTTTCTCTCCCCACAGGAGTCAGGAAGGTCCCTGAAAAGCTGCATTCACCTCAGTTTCAGACGTACCACACCCCAGAGCATCACCACATCAGCTTCCACTAGAGCTGAAATGCCAACAGCTTCCAGATCAAGGCACCAACCTGACACCAGAAAAAAATACTGAAAAAAAGGAGTTTGAGAAGCCTGGTAGCCTTGGAGCTGCAGTCACACTCAACCAGGCCCTTGCTATCACAAACTCTAGAGGAAAAATGAACACATCTGGACTCCTCTGAACACCACATTGGACTTCTCAGCTCAGTGAAAGATCCCAATCCCATTTTTGCACTGTATTATATCAAAGGTCTGGAACAGCCCCATCACAGTGGTGAAAGCTGAAAGCTCCAGGCATGCAGCCACATGGGTTTGATAAAGACAGCACTGCCCAGGCACTGATGTTTTTGGAAGGCAGCAGAGCCTTTTGCCTTAAAATATTTCCCCCCCAGTGCCAGCTGAGCACAAGGGCTCTGAAGCAGCTGCTTCCACACTCAGCAGCTTTGGGCACCTCAGGCTCCTTAAGGAGTCTCGTCCATCCCTCCCTCTCTACCTGTCCTTAAGAAGCTAAACATCCTTCCCTTCTCTACCCCTCCTCTACCCCCATTTTGTGGTTTTTTTTCGCAAAACCATTACTCTTAAACAAATCTTCAGTTCATGAAAGCCAAGAGCACACAGAAGACATTGAGGATTATTAGTAAAATACAACCCAAGTTAAATGTATCTTCATTAGCATGCTAATTGTCACTGTGGGCAGTGTCCATGGAGGAGATATCCTGACCATTATGGATCTGTGGGTTGATGTCTTGTATTTCCTCAAGTTTCTCTGGTTGAAAAAGCTGGAAACGGAGGCATCCAAGGTGACACCACAAGCCTTCTCCTGGGCTCCAGAGGGACCACAAGCCTCACTGGCCATCCCAGGACAATGTGGCTTCTCTGGGTAATATTTATAGACAAGATTCCTGTCTCCCCTGAGCTCCTTCATTTACAGGTTTGTAAACAATTTTCCTCAAACAACACTTTCTCTCAGGCTTTTGAGGACTTTTGCCCCAATTTGGTCACCTTTACTCCTACACAAGGAGAAAATCCCGCTGGCACAGCTGGGCAGGGGGTCTGCATACCCGCCCCCAGTGCCACCCCCGCCGTGGCTCAAAGGCCACCAGCCACCCCCACACATGCCATCCCCCTGAGGTGGCAGCGGGGGCTGTCCCCAGCCAAGCCCCTTTAAGGGACACTTCAGGGCGGCCGCAGGAGCCACGACATTAATTTTAGCCTGGAGCAGGGCCAGGGGTGCAGGGCAGCTGCTGCGGGCGGCGGGGGGGCAGTGCCTCCCACCCTGCCCTGGCCAGGGCCTCCCCCGGCACAGCCCCAGTTCCCTGCGGAGGCTCCGGAGCAGAGCGGGCAGCGGGACACCATGGCAGAGGAACGGACCGAGCTGGAGGAGCGGATCATCATCAAGGACCAGCACACCAAGGAGATCGACCTGGTGAACAGAGACCCCAAGCACATCAACGAGGACGTGGTGAAGGTAGGGCTGTCCCCCACGGGGCTGGAGAGTGTCACTGGAACCGGGATTGAGGTTTCAAATGTTGGTCTGTGTGTGGCTCAACCTCAGACAGGGCTGTCAGTCCTTGTCCACGTGCCCCAAGAGGTGCCATCCCTGGGGCTACGAGAAGGTAACAGCCCCACTGCCTGGGCACCCAGATGCCAGGTGGGTGGCACGTGGGCTCCAATTAATGCCGTATTTCCCATTCCTTGAATGTGCTCTCCAGTTTCATGGAGACACCCTCCTTTGTACCAGTAAGTAGAGAGCCAAAAATAACACAGAAATTAAATATCACTAATTAAAGGGGAACCCTGGAAAAAGGCTGCTGGTCATCAAGACACAACAGTCTTAGTACCAGAATTTGATGCATGTTGTCCTGTTTGCGGGAGGCTGTTCCCCCCCAGGGAAGCCCAGGGGTGCAGCAGCTCCCCAGATCCCTCCCTCTTTTGCTGACCAAGAGGAACTCCCATTCCAACTCCTGGTCTTCCTCTAAGCTCTGTTAGAATTGTGTCACAGATAATTCCAGCCCAAAGGAGAACAGGAGGAGGTGGAAGGGCTTTGTTAAAACTGTGTTTGAGAGGTTGAAGCGGATGTCACACCAGCAGGGACAGCGTGCACCGAGCTGCCCACACAGGCTTTGACCTTGACTGCACTGGTGCAACACAACCTGCATTTGGGCATTAGAACCCTGTCACAGCTACAACAATGGTGTGCTCAAATTAAATTCCTCTGGATGAGCTGTGACAGTGACAGCCATCCACAGGCACCCTCCTGGCACCGCGAGCCGTGCCCACGGCAGCTGCCCGACACCTCGGGATCCCGAGCACATTCCCAGCAGACTGTCCCACATCTGTGCTGCTCCGTGCCACTGCATCCCACAGCCTTGGCCTGGGACTTGGAAAGGTGCCAGGCAAAGGGAGCACCACCCTGTTGTGAGCAGGACAGCCCTTGGCCGGCCCACCCCAGGGCCAGGCAGAGCTTTGGGACACACACCTACAGCCCGGCTTGGGGACACCACTGGCTACTACTGGGGAGCAAGGCAGCACCTTCCTGGCCATCCCGTTGTCCTCCCACCTCTTCCAGCCTCTTTCCCCCACCCCACCCCTGCCTTTTCCCACTCAAGGATCTCCAAAGTCAGAAAACCCCTTTCAAGCTCACACGCTCACATGGCCACACTGCTGCCCCCTCAGCACTGGAAGTTTTCAGAGCTCAGGCTCCCCAGCATTCCTCCACGGTAAAACAGCCCAGCCAGTGTGGCTGGGGAGGGAGGGCAGAGCCAGCCCCAGGACAGGAGCACAGCTCAGCCCACTGCTGCTCCACAGCATCCCAAAGGACAGCCAGGGCCTCCTCGCTCCCCTGCAGGCAGGGGCACACTCCAAACACCCACATGGATACCATGGCACACCTAGAGCACAGCAGGCAGGGAGGCAGCCAGCAGGAGAGCAGGGAAGTAGAGTGCTCCACAGGATGAAGGGCTCACCTGGTCGTGGATAAACACCTTGAGCATCACGGAGCACCAAGCAGAATTTGGGACTGTTACCATGGTGGCATCAGCCAGAGAGGCTTTGCAGAGCTTCACAAGCCTCCTCCAAGCACAGCAACAGAGCAAACCATGGCTGGACTTGGTGACCTTAAGGGAGCTTTTCCACCCTAAATGATTCCACGATTCTGTAAAGGAGTGGTACCTTGTGTGTGCTGGCCCCTGAGAACCTCCAGGCAGTGCCCAGGATCCAGGGCTGTCTGAGCCTCAGCCTCCACTGCTCCTCCAGACCCACTCCCAGTGCAATGCCAGCAGAAGGGACACTGCTGCAGAGCCTCTGCTCTTATATCCCACTGCTCCCTGTGTTAATTGATCCCTAATGAGCTTGTCAGGCAGCTGGGCAGTGACCTGGGCTAGTCTCCAGCACACCTGGGCTTTCTGGGGCTGCTGACAGCACTCCAGGACCAGCGGTTTGGGCTGCTGATTCCTCATCCACCCCAATGCTTCTCCCAGCTCCAAGAAATTAAAGATGATGCGGAGTGATTTTGTGATCAAAGTGCTTCCAAAACCAGAATGGATATTGCAATCTAACATGAATACACAAACAGACACATTCAGCTGCCCAAGGGAGGGCCAGGATGGTTTTCAAGACAAATAGCTCAGCTTATGTATTTCCTGGAAGTGACTTACACTCCAGGGGGATCTTTGTGCAAAGTTCAGAGGACTTGGGGAGTGTTTGTCATTCAAAGACACCCCCAGTACCTGCACAAACAGCACTACCCCTGTAAAGGCAGAGCCAAGCCCCAGCTCCCCCTCCCCAGCAGGGATGAGGATGGACAGCACTGGACACCTCATCCCTGCGGGTATAAATAAATAATCCGTAGATCCAGAGGGCTGATGGATTTTTATTAGCACAAACACCTTCCTGCTGAGCAGGCAGCCCATGTCCCTGAATGCTAAAAAAGGGCAGGAATGGGCTCTGGCCTCCTCCACAGCCAACACTCCCCTCCACGGCTCCTGTTCCGAGGGCTCCCACCTGGCCCCAACACCTGGGAGCACCATTCCCAGCTCAGGGGTGGGACAGGGACTGTGGCAGGGCTGGGATCTCATGCCGTGGGTTAAGGCCACCACTGTGCTGCCCACAGGCTGAGAATGGGCAGTGCCAGGAGCCCTGAGCCACGTCCCACTGGGATCTCTGCAGGGGCAGGGACTCTTGGCTGCACCGGGGCTTGCCCTTGCTCGGGGGGTGCAGGGATATGTCCCCCCAGCACAGCCCTCGCCCTCCCCAGCCCCCCCTTTGGGATCTCCTCCCACCTTGCATCCGACCATGGTTCCTGCGCCGGAGCCCCCGTGATCCCCCGAGCCCTCCTTACCCCCCGTGATCCCCCGAGCCCTCCTCACCTCCCTCTGCTCTCCTCCCAGGTGGATTTTGAGGATGTGATAGCTGAGCCTGTGGGAACATACAGCTTCGACGGCGTCTGGAAAGCCAGCTACACCACCTTCACCGTCAGCAAGTACTGGTGCTACCGGCTGCTCTCTGCCGTCCTGGGAATCCCCCTGGCCGTCGTCTGGGGCTTCCTCTTTGCCCTCATCTCCTTCTGCCACATCTGGGCAGTGGTGCCCTGCATCAAGAGCTACCTGATAGAGATCCAGTGTGTCAGCCGGATCTACTCCCTCTGCATCCACACCTTCTGTGACCCGTTCTTTGAGGCGCTCTCCAAGATCTGCAGCAACGTCCGAGTTGCTCTCCGGAAGGAGATTTAGGTCCCGACAGCTGCCCCAACAGCCCTCGCACGACCTTCCCCATGCAGGCTTCCTGCCCTCGGGCACAGGGGCACCCGTGCCTGGTGAGGACCTGCACACACGGACACCTGTGCACGTGGATACCCCTGCCCAAGGACCTGCACGTGGACACCCATGACAAGGGAACTGTGCCTCACAGCAGGGCCCCATGGCAGAGCTGGCTCTCAGGGATGCTCCCTGCAGATGGAGGCAGGCCAAGCTGTCTCTTACTCCATCCCAAAGCCAGCAGCTTAAGGAGAAGAGAAGCCCATCAAGGCTCAGGGAGCAGCCCAGGGAGATCCCTCTGCCCTCCAGGACCCCACGGCATCACACCCTGGTCCCACAGGAGGGATGGCAGCACCTCCTGCACCACTGCCCTGGGCCACAAACTGCAGCTGCAGGATGAACAGTGCCTGCTCCTGTGTCCCCCAGGCTGGGATGGCACTGCCAAACCCTCACGTGGGAGTTCTTATTTGCTGCAAACAGTTGCTGTTGTGGGAGCTTCTGTGTTAAACTGTCACACCGAAGTTTTAGGGATAGAACAGCTAAAACAAACCTTTTTTCGTGTGTGTTTGCATGTCAGCCAAGCTCTGAGAGCTGGATCAGTTAGTGTGTGACACGTGTCTGCTCTGGGAGCCTGAGCTGAGCCTGGACCTGCACCAGCTGCAAAGCCGCCTGCGGCACTTTGATGCTCAATTATGTACTTAATTATGGAGCATCATTAAGTGCTGTGGGCAGGATCCGGGGCAGGACAGTGCAGGTGGAACACAGCCCTGTTGACCCCCCAAGCCAGGGCTGCCAGGAGGACAGCGGGCAGTGCCAGGACAGCGGAACACGGCTTTTGGGAACTTCACTTGAGAGACACCAAGCTGGGCTCTAAGCAAAGCTTTGGCTTGTTCCTCAGGGAGAATCTTTACTACACACCCTCAGCCAGTGTCAGGGAAGCTCCAGCCACAGCAGTGTGTGTATCCCACATGGTCAGGGCTGTCTCTCTGCTCTGTGCCCTGGGATGGAGCCATGGAGGCTGCAGGGGGCAGGACCATGCCAAGCTCTGGGCTCTGCCCGGCAGGAGGGGATCACATCCGGCCAGCCCCTTCCCTCAGCATCCCACAGGGATCACATCCAGACAGCCCCTTCCCTCAGCATCCCACGGGGTCACCCTGATGTGTGGGGTGAGCAGAGAAAGGATCCTTCACCCGGACATGGCCACTCTGGATCTAGGGAAATGGGAATGAGGGGGAAAAGGTCCAATTCAGAGCTATTTCCTCCCTTGTGCTGTCAATTAATTTGTCAGTCCCTCTTCCAGAGGGACAGTGGACAGAGCCACACTTTCAATTTGAGGCCCTTGAACATTCTTTTGGCTCTGGCCTTAAGTGCTTTGTTGAACCAGGGCCCAGGAGGTCTCATTGTTCAGAGGCTGTTCTCAATTGTATCTATGTGCTCTTTTCCTTGGCTTCCAACAAAGAGTTGGAGCCAAAGACTCCCCTAGTGCCATGCCAAGGACAAGAAGGAGCCAGGTTCTCTACTGGACCTCTTCCAAGGGCTTGGGATTGTGCACTGCCATTATTTCATATCAATATGGCACCCATGCTCCAGCAACACCCAGGGCTGAGATGGATGGAGTGATTCAGAAAGAAAAAAGATATTTAGGTATTTGTAGGGGGAAAAAAGTCTCCAAACCCACTTTACCTTGAGCATTTTTAGAAGCTTTTCTGTGAGAATAAAATTAATCCAAATCAATTATATTATGGGATTATACTACTTTTAATTTTTTTTGTTCTAGTAGTTCACAACCTGAGTCCCAAAAGCCACAAAATGCTGATGTCCCCACCACAGTGCTCTCTGGGGTCCCCACACATGGAACACACACTGCTCACCTGTCAGCAGCTCTGCTTCACTTTCAACCCTCCTGAAAAGCTTTTTGGCAATGCATTCAGCATCCCTCCCCTGGGGCACACCCGCAGCTGCTCCCCCTGTCCCTGCCTGCAGCTCTGCTCAGTCACAGAGCACAGCACCACAGGCCTGGGGCACGGCCCTGCCTGAGCCCAGCCACTGCTGGGCACTGCAGCCAGGGCTGCAGGGCAATTCTCTGCCTCTCCCAAATCTCCCTCTCTGCTCAGGGCATCCATCCCAGTAACACCTATTGCCATGTTCCCTCTAGTCCTTGGCAGATGGAGGGAGCACCGGGCCTCCAGATTCACAAGAAAAGGGGACCCTATTCCTTGTTTTGTGCAAGAGTTAGTGACTCTCAAGGAGAAAGAAGGTGAACGTAGGAAGAAAATGCTGTATAGTGTCCTAAGGATTTACACCAGTCAGCAAAAGTGCTGAGAGCTCACTTAGAGCTCCCACAAAAAAATCGAAGGGATATCAGGATAGGAAAGGTGTAAATGCACCTGCTGGTGACAGTGAAAAAATAAAGGACACTTTTAAATGCATTTTTCATATTAATTCCCAACATGAAAACCCAGATCACATCACCCTTTGAGAGCTGCACGTCCCCAGCTGTGTCCCTCTCCAGCTCCGTGCTGGGGAATGTTGGGGTGTGCAGATCCCAGTGCTCAGGCAGTGCTCCACAGGCACAGATCCCAGTGCTCAGGCAGTGCTCCACAGGCACAGATCCCAGTGCTCAGGCAGTGCTCC